TGCCAATGCAAAAAAGGCAATAAGTGCAGGAGGTTTAAACATGAGGAAAAAAAATCATTTAAAGATCAAATGAATAACTATGGATTAAAAGCAGAGATGCACAAAAACACACAATGAGCAAATAAGTATGCAACTAACCACTTCTGAGAAAACCGTGCAGCACCACAATACACAGCTTTTCATAATAGTTTATTGAACATGCCAATGAGTCCAGTGTACTGCAATGTCTTCCAGTCACCAGAGTACAGTCAGACAGGGCATCATCTGGATGTGGTGAAATGATTTACATCATTGTTATACAGCTTAAAAAACTGCAGCATATGAGCAGATCAAGTCATGCCAATAAAGATCTCTGAGGAATGTTCCTGAGACTTTGCTGAGGCATGCAGATTTAAAAAATCAGTCTAAGGGACACTGAATAAATTGTTTGGGAATATATAGATGACAAATCAGGAGTTTGTTGTGTTACAGATGATTTTCAGAACACTTAAATATGGTGAGAGGAAAGCTCATCAGATGTAAGTACATAACACCTCTCCAACACATGGTTCATTGGAGTTAATTTGGGAGTCTGTGTGGTATTGCTCTGCTAAATATCACCCACACTTGTTACATTGACTCCTACATTGGATAAAATTAACACCAGTTTGCTTTCTGGTGCATTGTGTGGGTGACCTGAACCTTCAGGCATGAGCTCATCCTGCTTCAGTGGACACTTGATTATTTCTTTCATCAGTACATGAAAAGACGCCAAGATTAGAAATGAGTCTGACCTGACTGGGTCTGCTTCACGTGGGAAAAGACGATCTCTGATTTAAACGGATCAACATATTTTCGGCTTGAGAGCAGATTTGATTTTATGCAACAGAGCAGGCAGAAGGCTGGGATTTATCATGACATTTTGGTGCTTCAACATGCTCCAGATTTGCTAGGAGGAAGCAACCATAGAAACAGACTTCTTCCGAGAGATTGTTTGCTCATTTGTGTTTATTTCTGCTTAAAGATGACAGAAATCCACAACACTCTGCAGAAAATAGTTTTTCAGAGGTTTATTGTTTAACTTGGTTGCAAGAATAGAACTTTAATCAAACGTACAAAATCAACTGTAGAATTTTCTTTAAATAAACGAAAAAACATTGAAGTGGATTTTGTACTTAAGAATAATTAAAAACAGTTTTTTGTTTTGCTTTTTTTCCCCTTTTTTCCCTGTTCTAAAAACATTTAACAGCTAAAAAACTCAAAAAAACAAAAACAAAAAAAAATCCAATTTCCATTTTGCCTGGGATATGAATAATTTTGGGGTAAAGTTTAATTTCAATTCTCATAGGAACATTTAGGTCATATTCACAGAAGGGAAAAAAAGTAAATGTATTAATTGAAACAGCAAATGTTTGACAAAATGTATTCAGCTTAGTTAACTTGACTGATCTTACTTACCAGTTTGTCATTTTAACTGGAATTATGGAGGCATCCAGGCTTGACGTTTTGATTGTAAACTTTAAGGGTAGGCTTAAAACTTTCCTTTTTGATAAAGGTTATAGTTAGAGTGGCTCAGGCTATCCAGAGCTATCACTATAGTTATACTGCTATAGGTTTAGACTGCTGGAGGACATAGGGTCCCGTTTTCATCATTGTGCTTCATTCTATCTCTATTCTCCCTTTCTGCAGAATTTGTTAGTTCAATCTCTGCTTTTTCTCATCATAGTAGCTTCATCTGGTCTGTTCCTGTTTGGCTGTGACTCCATCCAGTGGAGAAATATCAGCTGCCCTGCTGCCATCAACATCTTTTGTTTATAGCTGCTGGAGCTTGGCCTGTTTTTCAGTGTAGTCCTGTTTCTCTGACTGTTACTAACTTTATGTGCTCTCTTTCATACCCTGACATGGGAGCTGGCTTGGAGTTTGTCTGCCTGGCTGTGTTCTTCCTGGACGGGGCTGCCTTTGGAGCTGTTTGACAGTTGCCTTTTGTATCTCTGCTTCTTTCTGAATGTCTGCTTCCTTGAACCCCAGCCGGCCTCAGCAGATGGCCGCTCACACTGACCCTGGTTCAGCTGGAGGTTTCTTCCGAGTTTTTCCTCTCCACTGTCACTACAAGCATGCTTGGTGTGAGGGATTGCCTTTGAGTCAATGAGTCGATGCAATTAGCTGGTTTTATTTAGATAGAAAACTTTGAATCAGTTTGACTGTATGATCTGGTGGAATTTTCTTGAGATGACATGTGTCTTGAATTGGCGCTATATAAAAAAGTGAATTGAAATTGAACTGCAAGTCTAACCTGCAGCTCCCCCTAGTAAGTATATTTAAAAGGTTTAACCATGCAGAGCCACATTTCTTGCACAGTTTTTTACTTCAACACATCCAGTGCAAAGTTAATTTTCATCTCAAGACACTTTGAGAGTTTGGCTCTTTAAGAATTTCTGTCAATTTTCAAGCTTGAGAACTTTTTAACTGATAGCAATGCCTGGAAAAGTGGACAAAATGCAGAAATGAGACCTGAAGACGTGTCTGTTTGCATGAGTGTTTGCTGCTCCCTGAGCACAAGTGAACTCACAGCTCATGCTCATGAGTTATCTAAAATGCAAAAAACATAAATAATTTATTCCAAATCTTGGACTGCTTACTGTATCGCTACCTCACTATAACGGAAACAGATTTTATAATCAACATCGGATGTATACTGTACATAATGCTTCATATAAGCCTATCAAAATGCCAGATTTTTGTGATGAAACAAAATAGAAAAGCATTTTCTGAAGTTTTTTTTTTCCCCAACACAGCATTTTTTTGTATGCAAAATGTAACTGTAAAACAAACAAACCCTTTAGAAGAAGCTGAAAGGGCCAATGATACATTAGTGTATATAACTGAAAACATCCTAGGCCGCTTCTTCTATAGTCCTAGCTTAACAATGGCTGCAGCCTTTACCCATAAGGTTGTTTCATCAGAAGGGTCCCACATGACATTTAGTATAGAAACCTCCCCTCCTGTTGATGGGTCAGCAGTGATGGCCTCCCACTACAGTCTCTATGACTCCCAGTCACTAGCTCATCTCCTTCTTACCCCATAGTCAACAGGAGGCTCTTTCTGCTCCCAACCTTCAGACCGCCTCCCTTTTCTTTGTGGCCATCAGAGCCACTGCTGTCAGCAACTTTCAGGCTGATTCTACCGACTATATATGCATATCATTTTTTTTCTTCTTATGGAAAATATTAAAAGTTTCTCTTTCTTGAACTGTCCTGTAAAATGGCTTTGGCTCAAGGATTCAAATGAACAAATACAGAGAAAATCCACATAGTGAAATGCTGTGCAAATGTATTCCCAACAGTTACTTTTCTTTAGATGGAACTAAATTATTTTTCGGCAAGATGGAATAGAAAGGTCCACTGGAAAGCTGCAGATAAAGACTCATTTTATTTCTCAACATTACAGTGAATCAAAGTCCACAGGGAAGCCAACCAAAGAGGGACAATGAAAGTGCTTGAAAAGGAAACATATAAGAAATCTGGCATATAAGCTTAGGGGCTGCCAGAGATGTCCTCAAAATCGCACAAAGATCACACATAATTGACTCTTTGGTCTTGGTATTCTTGATTCATACTTCTTTTCTTCATGTGTTGGGTTAGAGCCATAGTTCAGTCCTGATCCATAGTTTAGGGTTGACTAGATATTTTTGCTTTCTGTTCAGATCTCTGATTATTTATTTTTGTGCTTATGAAGAATCTGTGCACTCTGCTAATTAGACTCATCTGGTTTCCATGCCACTGATCACCTCCCATGCAGCTTTAAGCTGGTTAGTTTCTGTCATTTTCCCCCATATCTTTCTTTTCCCAATCATACTTGTTTGCTTCCCCTGTTGTTCAGTCTGGCTGTCCTCCACAGAGTTTTTCCACTGTTCCACCTATTCCACCAATCAGCTCCCTGGCAAATTTAAGGCAGTTAGTTTGTTCCATCCTATGTCAAATCCTTCTATTTCCTGACACGTTTATTTGTATTTATATTGTTGATGAACCATTTATTGACTTTGCCAAATATTTTTTCTCTACTCCTCTAAGGTTACTTCTAATATATTTAGCTCTAATAAACCCCAACATGAGACCACCATTCTGACAACACATCATGATAGAAAGTGCTTTAGCAAAGCCTTAGGTAATATCTATAAAAACATTTCCACCTGTTATTGCAGCTTCTATTTATTGCATAAAAATTATATTAAAAGTGGGGAAAGTGAATAGAGTTAGAAAATAAAGAAAATGGAATTTTGCAGGGAAGGATACAAATTTTGAAAGTGATAAAGAGTATTTTCCTGTGTTTGACTATAGATCAGAATTTACACAGGCCAACTTAGGAAGGCAGGGCTGTTTCACAGTGAAAACCGATTGGCTTTGCTTGTAAACATACGTGTTGTCTTAATCTGCATCATTAAGGGACATCAGTGAGGAAAAAAACAACCATAGTAACTGCACTGCAACCTGTTTGTGTGTTGTCTGGGTTGTCTGGCTACTGTGGATCCCAAATGATTCGCCTTCACAGCGGATTCTCCTGAGTGTGTTTCAACTGAGAACATTTAGCTGTCATGTACATTGAACGTACACAAAGTCAGTCAGACTTACAGGAAAACAGACATCCCAGAGACAGGAATCTCCTGGTTGGTTTGATGCTCCTGTTGGTTGATGCTTTCAATTCAAACGCAGGATGGGAGAAGATTTTAGAAACCAGATCAGCTTTTTAATCTCCAAATACTATGGTGGTTCTATATAAATGAAAGATTTTTTTTTCTTTCCTAAGAGGCTAGAAATGAGGGCAAGCATTTTGTCAGTGAAGGAGTGTGACTGGACATCGAAGGAGTGCCATCTAGTGGATGGAGACCTGCATGGAGATTCACAGAAGGGCAGAGTTTGCCTGCCAAACATATTTAGATCCAAAAAAGTGGAGTCATTGGAAAAGACTGGGATGAGACCCAACTATCAGCTTTACTACACAGCCAGAGAACTTTTTCTGGAAGCTTTGGATATAGAAGCCATCCAGCTGCTGATTAGGAGATCTGCTGGAGAGAAAGTTGGAGCTCAGCGATTCCCACACAGCCTGAGTAAGGAAAGGTGCATTTGTCTCTCTGATGAGGAGCACAGTGAGGCATTAACATTGTTTTCTATTGTTCTCCGGAGTGGTTTGTCTCTTGAGGACAGCTGCACCTCTGGGTCTGAGCAAACCTTGAAACTGGACAGACAGCAAGGCGTCCTGAAAAGGAACAGCATCCAAACCCGTCTACTGGCTCTAACCAAACTCAATGATGAACACAAGCTGGAAGCTTTGTCTGCTTTCTGCAAACATTTATGCAGGCGCTACCAGACTCTCCACACTCCTGGTCGCAGCCTGACTGTGAAGAAATACAGACTTTCCTACCAGCACAGTCTTTGCTCCTTCCATCTGGCCCTCCTCTATGATTCAAGCACTGGGTTCATCTGTAACATGTACCTGTACTCTCCAGAGCATCTCCAGAAGCAGAGCAGCAGGCCTGTAGTTGAGCAGGTGGTCAGACGACTGGTCGAGCCTTTCTGCAGCCAAAGGAACATTATTCAGCTGGACAACTCTGCAGGGATGGAGGAAAGACTCAAAACCATTCTCTCTGGATTGGATGTTCATATCAACTTTGCTCCTTCAGGAAAAATACTAACCATCGTCCCCTCACCGTCCTCATCTCCATCTGAGGATTCAATGTCTGAACTCGTAGGCCACATCAAGGGCTGGAAAGGACCTGCTTTGTTCTCTTTGTCAGACCTGAAAGAATCTGTGCCAGATACATTCATGCCGGGCGTTTGGGCCACCCTTCACATGGTTTGCATCAACACATTCGTGCTCCACTCTCTGCAGAGCCGGGGCTCAGGCAGGAGCGTTCCTCTGACTGGGTTCACCAGGGCTCTGGCCTCGCAGCTAGCAGCCGATAACAACATGGCTGTCCCCGCTCTGCCTCAACTGAACAGCTGTTCCTACCAGGAAACAACCAACCTTTCTAAGCAAAGGTTAGTTGTGAATAGCTACTGCAGCTGAATCCTGTTCATTATCATTATTAGTCAAGAGTGATTTCAAATGACCTCTATCGTCTACATTTAAGAAGGTTAAAATAATCAAATCTTGCAAAGAGGGCTAATTGTTTCAGGATATTGAGCAGTTATTTTCAGTCTATTTTCTTACACCAATCTGTATGCTTCTCTGAGTACATAGGTAGAAATGTACCCTAAAAATCATCCTTAGAAAATTTGATTTCAGGTTGTAGCTTTGGGGAAAAAAAAAAAAAGTTTGTTTTTTCATTAATTCTTTCCTTCTAAGAGTGCATTTATAAGGTCAGACATTGATGTTGGACAAACATGTTTAAAGCCTCTCATTCATTTAAACTCAAAGGTGTATCAGATTAAACTAAGACTCTCTGCTATCAAGTTCTTAGACAATAAACCTGCTCATCCATATCTTTATGGGCCTTGCTTTGTGCACTATTGCACAGACATGTGAGAACAGTGGCGCAGCACCAAACCAACTTATCTCATGCTAACTGTCATGACGGCCAATCTGTTAGATTACCATGCATGATTGATCAGTCCAGAGTACATGTCTCCTCCGCTCTAGAGTCTAAGCTCAGGGCGATTTAACACCATCTGAATGTTGTGATGTAAGCTTGGACACAGCCGTAAGGCCATGTGCACCCATTACATAAAGCCCTGTTCTGTGTTTTTGGGCTGAAAGAAAGGCCACAAGAATTGTAAAGGTCAGTAGTTACCGACGCTGTTACCCTTCAATCCATCAACCCTAATCAAGGATTTTTATAAGGCCATACACTAAGTTATTGTTCCCAATCACTTCTGCTGTTATATTACTCACAACTGAGACTGAGAAACATTTAGGAAATTTCAAGATTGAACTTAGTGCACAAGTGGTATCTTATTATACACTGAGAAAATGTACAACAAACAATTCTGTCAGGACTATTGGTCCATAAACCTAGCTGAGGGAATTTATAAACCTGTGGCCATAGCAGTGATTAGATACACAATACTTATGAGAATATCCAGTTTTAAATGGTGTTAGATGGAAAATGCTTTTATGTTCATGTTTCATCCATAAACCTCTGGGAGTCTGGATATTGAACAGAACACCACTGCTGAGATTTGGTACAAAATGTTTTTTGGGGCACAGTCAGCTTTTAAATCTGTCATGATAACAATTGTTACACTTGCTAGATACATTTTTTTTTCTTCAAAATTTAACTGCTGCGAAATATCTAAAGACATGCCGATGGAGGGTCATAACCTTGATCAAGGGTTCCTAAACATTTAAGCCTGTGACCCCAGAAAGAACAGTGCAAAAGATTGGCGAACCTTAAGAAATAGAAATAACTTTATCCCTCTCAATCTATTAAAATAAAACAAGAAGTCTTTTTAAAATAAGATTTAATGATCTAATGTATAATTTGAGTTTATTTATAAAATTGTTTATAATGTACAAGATAAATAGCATAAATCTATCTTTATAATATTATATAAATGTATAATAACATTTGATAACTTCATACATTTTTTATTTAATTTTATATTCATTTTTTATTTAATGGGACAAGTACTTTTTTTTAACTGCGCATTTTATAAACCTCATGGCATATTCAATATTTGAATCATGCTCAAAATATATAAATCCTTTTTTAAATTACATTTATATATTAGATTTTTTATTTTAATTTATTTTTCTAAGGGACATTTATTCATTTAAATGTTTCTTTTATAATTGCATATTTAAAATTTGAATCATGTTTAAGCTAAAAGAATAAATGTTACATCTTGTGGTTTTATGGTAAGTGTAATCATTAATTGGTTAGTTTAAATGACATATTTCTAGATATATATTGGCTTATTAAACACCTCAGGGATGACATCTAGATCATAGCTCTAATTCATAACTACAATGAGGTAAAAACCTGAATTTCCTCAAATGAAATCAGAAAAGAAGGTTACTTCTGTGTTACTGTTATTCAATATGTTGAACAGCTTAACTTTAAACTGGGGGAACATTTAGGGTGATTAGTACAGAATTCTGTAATATTTAATATCATTGCTGTTACCTGTATATCTTTAGCTCTTAAATAAAAAAATATGAGCTAAAAATTCTATTATGAGCCAATAAAAAAAAACAAAAACACTTGATGTTTTCCGTTTTCCATTTATAAAACCCAGACATACTGATGTGATATTAAACTCCTAAAAGCTCTTAAATGTTTTGTGTTTTATCTGCTATAACTAATCTTTCTCTTTATCTAGACCAGGTAAGACTCACTTTGAGGATAAAATAAAAAAAAATTTACCCCTCAAATGCTCAAATTGTGGCTCCTTTAACTCTATAAATAGAACTATTGGTTATGTTTCCAAGTTAACCACATTCAAATCAGAGTTTTGCTATGATAAAGACAAATTAGCTTTAAGATACCGCTTGTTTCCTTTCAAATAAATGTATACAGAATGCTGATATTTCTGTTGCCAGGGCTACCATTTAATTTGGCAGAGGTCAAACTAGTCCAGCCCAGTAAATGAAGGCTGTTTCCACTTGGGACACACAAAGTGGAACACTGATGTGTTTTCTGTCTTTATTCCAGGTGGTCAAACATAAACGGCTGCGTTCAGATGACCGAGGATATGAAGTGCAGCTTAGGAAGGCAGCTGCAGAGCCAGCAGAGCAGACCAGGAGTGTGTGGGTTAGACAACTCTGGCAATTCATGCTACTTAAATGCTGTTCTGCAGTGTCTTTGTTCAACTATGCCCCTTGTAGAGCACCTTCTTAATCAAGATACACGCAAAGACCTGGGAAGGTATGCAGCACCCTGCCTCTCTTCTCTCTCCTAAGCTCCAGATCCACTGATTGAACCTCTTTGTTCAGGTGTAAATGCAGGCTTGCACAGGTTTTTGTCCAGCTGCTGGAGAAGATGTGGCTGGGGAGCAGCTCCAGCTGTGCCCCTGTTGAAACCAGGTCCATGCTGGGCTCCATCTTCCCCCAGTTTGATAACTACACCCAGCAGGATGCTCAGGAACTGCTGCTTCACCTTTTAAATGGCCTCCATGAAGATCTGAAAAAGGTGCCGCAAAATCACTCTTCTACTAAGACTGTCTGTTAAAAATACAGATTAAAATTTCCTTTAAAAAAAATATTTTCATAAGTTCCCAAGTTCACATTTGTGTTTATTTGGTCGGCAAACGTCAGATTCATTTCTCGGGACAACAGCCAGGAGAAAAACAGAGCACCACCGAGTCCACTATCATCTCAGATCTGTTTGAAGGGCAGCTAAGCTACCTGACCTACTTCATGCAGTGTGGCCACCAGGCACACAATGCCCAAATCTTCACTGTACTTTCACTTCCAATTCCCAAAAAATCCAAGAAGTGCTCCATTGAGGTACGTTTGAACAGATTTGTCCCCGCTGTTGTTCTGCGAGACCTGAACTTCACCCATTTTTGATGTCTGTGCAGGATTGTTTATCTCTGTTCTTTGAGGAGACCATCCTGACTGCGGCCGAGCAGACGCTCTGCTCAGCCTGTGGGCTGAGAAGAGAAGCAGCAGTCCAAACCTGTTTAGACAAGCCCCCAGAGATTCTCATATTGCACCTGAAACGGTAAGTATAAAACACAATCTATGTAAATTTTTCCATAATAGATCTGATTACAGCTATAATTCACATTATTGATTCATGTCATACCGTATATATAATCCAATGTCTCAACTACTGATCCACAAACTATAGCATTAAAAAGGTAAAAATCCTCTTATTTGTCATTTAACATTTTTGCTTTGGCCAAAACAAAGGAATAATATTTATCCCTTTAAAGGTTTCACAGGAAAACTGCAAAAAATATTATTCAAGATATTACAAACGTAGATTTGGTACCTGCCTTCACTGTATAGATGCATAAAGCAATAAAAATATGAGCTCATGTTAGCCTGACATGCAAACTAATCCAAGCAGCTTGGAGACAGTTTTATAACACCTTAAATAAAAAGATAAAAGTGGCTAGAGGAATATAAATACCTTCTTTTGATCCAGTATAATTATCATCTTCTTTTAAGGTTTGGCTGTAAGGGGAAGAGTCAGGTCAAACTGTCAGCCAATGTTTCCTTCTCCATGGAGCTGGATATTTCAGCGTTTCTATCCAGCTCGGCACAGGAGGCGTCTCCGTACCATCTGTATGCTGTTGTGGTGAGTTATCAGTGCCCTCATCTTTTCTTAGCGCCAAGCCTCTGCAGGCCCTAAAGCTTGTCTGCAACCTTTCATATCCAAACAGTCATTTTGCCCTGAGTTCAGCTAAGAAAAACTCATTTAGAGCCACAAAATATCACGATTGCTTTTTTTAAAAAAAAAAAGGGAAACACAAAACGATTCATAAAACTGAGGTATGGATTTTTTTTTTCTGTAGGGAAAATATTTGATGTTAACAAAAATAATAATAAAACACCTAGTTTCCAAGCTAATTAAAGGAAAAATATTTCTCGTGATGTCCAATATTTTTTTCAAAAAAAAAAAAAAAAAAGTGTCTAATACTGGTATTTGTTCTAATAGTACATTACATAAGTTATTTATATCACTTTTTTTGCCACTATTAAGAGCCATTGTAGAGGGTCCAAAGAGACACATGCTGCTCCACAGACACAGGAGCAAACAGTTAATTAAATTCGGTGATTGTCGAGAAATATTAACAAAAAGAAAGTCATTTTAAACGTATTTATATTAGAAATATTTTCTAAAAATTTAGGTTTGCAAACTTAAATTTCTAGATTTCTCTAACATTGTCTTTCAAGAGAAAAG